CCCCCCAAATACACTATGCGTCAGCGATAATATATTACTAGGCTCGGTTTCACCCACCAAAGTATGTTAGTTCGAAATCTTACCAAAGTGGGAAAAAATAAAAGAGACATACCTAATCAAATGTTGCTAAAAACATAAGAATGATAAAATCCTACTCACATGCGATAGCCGAGCAATATGATCAATACCAATTCTTTCGCTTTGTTCAGAAACCAGAGTCCAGTCAATTTCTACTAGTTGATGACCTGCAGAGTCTAACGGCGTCTCCCTGCTACAGTAGACTTTCACTGGTATATTCCTTTAAAAAACGCAGTGTACTACAACTAAATGACCGAATAACCCCACTGTGAGAAGAAAGTTCACCTTTTTGTTGGAGAGTCAACAGCGGGATTTAATTTTACAACCACAGGGGAATCAATGGCAACCGCAAAGAAGGACTGCAAATACACTTCGTCCTCCTCCAACCCGTCACCACCAGTACAATACCATCCAACAACCTCCAACTCGGGGAACACCTGCAGTCAAAATATCATAATAACAAGTCTTTCCACAGTATATGACACTCGTGTTTTCCAAGTTATTGTTCAGCATATTCAGTACATTTTAGAAATCGACTCATTTTACAGCCTAAAACCAAAAAACCTAAAGATAGTAAAAAAAAAGCCTGAAAAATAGAATGAAAGAAAAGAACAGACAAGATAATAGAACGGATAGATAGATAGATAGATAGAATAGATAGATAAAAGATAATGGAGTAAAAGAAAAGAATAGAAACTTAAAACACTGTTTCAACATAAAAACTGATAAAAGGGCTCAGTATGACTTGAATTAAGCTTGTTTACAATTGAGAAAACAAATTATTTCGACCTCTCACGATTCATACATGACCCGTATTATAGTGTTTTAGAAACTAGAGATATCCATCCATGGAATCAAATACATCTGGTGAAACACAAAGAAATAAACAATATACAAAAAGAAAACATAAATTTTGTATCCACTTCTCTAACGCCTATTCCACTGAGAACTTAACTCCTTATATTGGTTAAGCCTCTGTCGAAGGAATTCGTCATTAAAATGCACATGACCGTCTCTGGTGAACATACGCAATTCAAACGAATTCACCATATCCACACGACTCTCATCGACCATTCCAAGAACTGCTCCGAAGACCTTGAGTGCAAACTAAGACATAATCTCTCATTATTTCCAAATATTCACGAAGACATTTCTTTCGAAAGTAACAGAAAACAATGCACTGAAGTCATCGAGCTGTCGTCGTCTATGCAAGAAAGTTCTGCAAACCTTTTGGGCCACCTTATCCCGACTCTGGGCTCGCATTCTTGTCCAGTGTTCAGAAATATTCATAATGACCAACGGATGGAGATTGCATTCAACCAAAGCCACTGACTTCTTAGCAGAACACGGAATCGTCGCAGGCTCAGTGCGCATAACAATGTCCGGCATTTTACTATGGAAAAGAATAGTTTTACATGCTAGGAAGCCATGCACGTACAGATTCAACAAATAATGGAAGACCAAAAATTGCTACGACGGGATGATTTAGGTTTTTACAGCCCAGATGGAGAAAGAAACCAGTCTCAATCATAAACGTTTATTTATATGCAATACAACAAAGAGTTACCGACAACCTAGCAACAACTTCACTTAAAAACGTACTTTTTCAAACACTACAAACAATTTGCTCTTACATTATACCAGCGATAGTCTTCTTTTGTATTTCTGCCCTACGTGCCAATTTTGCTGCCTGAAAAATTAGAAAATCACCAATTCAAACCCCCTCCACTTAACTTTTGGATGGTAGCCATCACACCATGCAAATGAAGAGAGCGTGTGCTACAAAACAGAAAATAAAAACCAACCTTCTTCTCCTCCAGCTCCTTCTGTTGTAACATGACTTCGAATCGCGGGTCTTTAGGATCCATCCAGTAACCGAAATATTCGTGGATTTCGCTGAAGAATTTCAATGGTTTTCTAGTCTTCGTTTGATATAAGACTAGGTAAAAAAAAAATGAAAACTCTTTCCCAACACCCATTTACGCCCCTATTCAAAGGAATACTTCAACATAGTAGTAAAAGCAAGATATGTAATCTGTGCAGTAATAAAGTCAGTGATTTGTCAACAATCAGACTTCTAGGACAACGGCGAACGTGCTGACACAGTCTTGCAAACCACTACGCTAATAACCACAACGATGCTTAGATATTCGCAAAACTTGGACCCCGGGCCAGATTGAACCACGATTACCCCTTCTGGGGGCTCCCGCATTACACACTACACCACTGAGGACCCTGATTTGCATTTCTCTCAGCTAATTTTCTACCTAACGCCGCCATCAGGAATCACCCGCCCTATCAAGCACCGTTACGCTAATATTGAAAAAACCCATTACGTACCGTATGCGGTTCTCCAATGCGATTTCTTTCGCATCACGTTCTTTTTCGGCTTTCACTAGTGATGCTTCATATTTAGCTAGTACATTCGGATAATTCTCGAGATTCTTGTCCAGTTCTGCGATTCTTGCTGCCTCTTTTTCTTGTTGTTTTCCTTTCAGCGCTTTCATGTCTCTTAGACATGTGTGGTATTCACGATACAAGCCTACTGCTTGTTCCTCTTCAATCTCCTGAATTAAAACACGATCAAGACCACATGTGATTAAATAGATACGCGGTCGAATGTGTTGACATTGATGGGCTTCCTCCAAGCTGTTTATTTCAGTGCTTCCTTTCTCGCCAAACCTTTTCTGTTTGTTCGGAACATTATCCAACAGAAATATTGCGCCATGAGTGGCATGCGAAAAATTACCCTCTACACTTAGTAAATTGCAAAAGACGGTTTACCGTAAGAGTACCCATTTTTTTAGCTGCACAGAATGAGCCTAACGAAAGAACCACTCCAACATTTCAACGTAGTTACATCGAGAGGTCACTTAACAACGTTCATTCACAGTTTATACTTAGGAACATTACCGGTTCTAATCCACCGTGCTCAAGCACAAGTAGAAATAGAACAGGTATAAAACCTAGGGCTATACCCAACGTTTATTATTAGGACGACTACAAAAAGCCGACCATAACATAGCTGTGGACTCTCGTTAAGTATTTTTCATAATAAAAAAGCCTAGAAATGTTCCAAAAACGTGCAGAGATGTATAGATGGACATAGAAGATACACTAAATTATGAAGAACACATAAAAGGGGTATCCATTTTTAGGACCAAATGATAGCGTATCGAGTTCGGTTCACACCTCTCAAAATGAAAAAGTAAACGTCGCCGCAACACAAGAGTAGACAAGTTCGAATGTGTTAAATCGAGAGCACATAAAATCCTAAATCCCATCAACGTACCTCAACGGTTGGCCAGCATATACTTGGATTGATGCCACTTTTCAGGCCATACGTTCCGAAACGCTCGCGTTGTGCACTTCGTTCCCGTTCCCAGTCAAACTCCAGTGGAGGCATTCCTCCAGCAGCAATAACACGATGCCGAGGTTTAAGTCTGTGATGGAAAACAGGACTAATTATACGGTACTGAAAGTAGCAACCTGAAAAGTGCTCAGACATAAGATCAAAATTGGACAGCTTTCTGATTTCATACAGAATATCTAGTTAGAAATTACTCAGCAGCTCCAAATCTCATTGAATTGCTAGTAATAACTTATCAGATAAGAGTGCTTATGTCCAGAAATTTCAATAGTACACGCCATTATACTCCTCTTTTACATCCCTAACGTAACAAATGCTTTTCAACACATTTCACTTACCCAGATATATCTACCCGATGTTCACCACTTACGACGTCCTCGACTGCATCCTTTAGTTCTTTTTCCAATCGGACCGACAACATTCGAACATAGTTCACAGTAGATAAACATGAAGGAAGTTGAAGCCGTCCTATCATTCGACAGCGCACCTCAACTAGAAATATGGAAACTCAGATGTATCACATCTACCCAGCATGTACTCTTGACATGTATTACGACTACTTAGGATGTGCAAAACACTGGAATGCAAGTAGTACTAGAGGCCCATTCTCACGCAGAAATACTCCTAACTTGTTAATAAAATAAAAAAAAAAGATAAAGCTCTCGACGTTGATCAATTCCCGAGCGATGCCTTCGACTTCACTAAGCATCATTTGGAAGTGAATGGATGCATATCTGGCTTTTACAAAGATGCTCAACACTTAATTCTTCACTGTCCCTCAAACTGTTTACAAAACTGCATCCAAACTTTGGAAGGAAATATCTCCAACAACGACACTAGATCAGTCCATCCCAACTAGACCAACGTGTTACTGCCAGTTCCCAAATATCAACTAGTTAAGAATACGGTGTAACCACATGCTTCTATGTTTTCCTACCTCCTACTTTCATAGTTCGCCACCCCACTAATTTTGCAAATCATAAATTTATATCGTTAAAACGGTAGTGATTATAAAAGTGTAAGAATATGTTAACTTATGTACTTGCTCAATGATAATCAACTGTTATCAGTTGTGATAAATATGGGGCTATCATGACCAACAAGTACTCTCCAAACAAAACGCTTGGAAATGAGAAGATTTTATAGCATTGCAAAAAAAATAAGTTGTTTTATAGCATTACAAAAAAGAAGAAGTTGAAATGTGCAATTAACAGAATATAAAACGAACCGCATGGCTTGTTCTCAAAAGTTCTCATATAATCAATGAGACAACCAAATAACGAACATGAAAAAATTACAAAAAATATAAATAAGATCGCTGCACTCAGAGAAAGAAAGACTCTATCGCTCCAATTGATCAGCCGGTGTGTCCTCTTCTCCTTCGTTGTAAATATTGTCAGCCATTTGCCATACCTCCAATTATGTAAGAACATAACTTATGACAAACTAATTTTAAGAAATTTAATGCTATAGTCATTAAATGCTCACTAACACCGTTGATGAGTAATGGAAGCGAATTAAGCTCAAGAAACTTTTCAGCTCCTTTAATACAACGAAAGCAAAAAAAAAAAACACCTGCATGATATTGTCCTCAGACACACTGCATACCACCCAAGGTTCGTTTGGATTCCATGAAAAGTCACTAATCTTGGCGGTATGACCACCATGAATAAACAGCAGCTCCGGTGGCCCGTCCTACAGTTGTTACCAATAAATGCCAGAGAAAAAGCACGAGAAAAGAAAATTTTTTACCTCAGCGTCCTCGGGATTCTGTTCTTCTCCTATTTTCGACAAATCCCATACGTGAAGTCTCCTGGAACCAGTGATCTTTTTCAGAAAAATATTGTGTAAACTTATAAAAGATGAACAAACAAACCTATCAGTCCCACTGCTTGCCAAAATCGTCTCATTATGAGGACTCCACTGTACTTGGAAAATCTCGTCTTTGTGTGACTCGAATGAATGCAATTTCAACTTCATGTTTCGAAGATCCCATAGCGCCACGGTCTTAAGAATACAAGCTGAGGATATACAACGCAGTTCGTGAGAAACAGATATGTAAAGTGATTTTATCACATATGTCTCTAACTCACAGGGCAATATATCTTTTTCAACAACTGCTAACAATTCTAAAGAAATGTTATCCTTTTATTTTCTGCCTGCTATAATTTTCCACGACAGAGGATGATGTAAATTACATCCACAGCGATGCTAAGATATTCGCAAAACTTGGACCTCTTCCGTGGCGCAGTGTGTAATGTGTGAGCTCCCAAAAGAGTAATCGTGGTTCAGTCTGGTCCGGGGTCCAAGTTTTGCGCACCGGTATTGTCTTGAATGTATTAATGGTACTCATCAGAGATTGCCCGATGGCACTAAGTTGCGAGGCTTAGTGACTTAAAATCAGGTGGTGGATAGATAGTTAATCGCGAACACCTTTGCTTTCCTCAGCAGTTGAATCCAGGGGATGGACTACCTGTTTCTGCTGCAGCAATTCATCACATGCCTTCTGTATTTACGAGGACATATTCATGCATGTGTGCGCGGATATGTTCTCGTTAATGCCTGATTATACTCTACGAATCAATTCGGAAAAGGTCGCAGTTAAGTCACCAAGAAGTATATGAAAGGCGCTTAGAGTCGCTTCCAACAAATAAGCTACCCGTCTACTTTAGTAATCTGGAAAGCTACCCATAAGTATACTCAGCCATACGTTCACAACAGCTCATTAAACCGTACGTGGATATCAAACGCTAAACAGTAAAATAAATGGGCTTCATTCCTCTGACCCTAAAAGAACCCCGGGTACGGTAGCGTTGTGTACGACGAGTGTAGACAGGCTAAAATTTTAGGGTCATTATAGGCTACCTAAATTTCGAAGGACAAAAGTGAAGATTTGTACCTACAATGCACACACGCATCTGAGCCCATGACGATAGACTTGATAACGAAAACAAGAACGATAAGATATAAAGTTATCCAAATGGCTGAGACGAGAAGACGGTATCCATTCAACGACGTCTATGATACGGGAGAAGAACTGTTCTTCGAGCCACAAGAAAGCAGACTTGTCGATGGCCGTGAACATCGATTTATTCGAACAAATAACAAGCCAACTCGGATTTACAACTGAAAAGATGTGGAGCAATACTAGCTTTGACAATCTTCGTCGTTTACCCAAGAACACCAAGCTATGACGAAGACGAAGTCGAAGGCTCTATATGAACATGGAGATGTTCTGCGGAAAACAATCACTCTTCAAGGTTATCACTAGAGATGTTAACCCTAAGACTAGACCTAGAAGAACGTTTGAAGAACGTCATATTGGGACCCACGGATTAGGATGGAACGAGCAGTGTGAACGGCTGACGCTGGACGTGATGGTCTCCCAATGCAGAGTATTATAACGAAATAGACCAAGTCATGGTAGATCGAAGGTTTGCCTTTGGTGCTCACTCGAGTCACTCGTCAATCAACGGGACGACAGGTGATAAATTTGTTCAAGCAATGCCTAGCTTTGTCATTCACTAACTCAAGTGGGAAGGATTAGAAAATCAAAGCAAGCAATTACTTTGAAAGCAAACACTAACGGACTTCACTTACCTTTCATTTAGTTCACCAATGAAACAAGAAATTAATCCAAAAAACGCGTACCTTATCTGCACTTCCCGTTGCTAGGATAAACTCAGAATATGGATTGAACGACAAGCAGTTAACTTCAGCAGAATGTGCATCGACAGTGTGTGCTGGTTGATTACCTCGAATATCCCATATCATCAACTTGTGATCATCGCCAACAGACCCGAATACAGCTTCATGCAGCACATGCCATGCAACGTCCTCAACAACCTAAAACGGCAGACAGAAATAATTAGAGTTCTGACAGAAAACATCTTTCCCTTCAGAACTGTGGCACACTGGCCATTACAGATATCTTAGTATTTCGCTCACAATCTTTATGGTGAAAGAAAAAGATTAATTGAAAAAGAGTTCTTTTTTGCATATTTAATGCAAAACAGCGCATTCCTCAAGCGATGACTGAATTTGCGGTAGAAAAGCTAACGACTGTATTCAAAAAGCATAGCGAAATAAAAAACTATGTGGGAAAATAAACAGCCGGAAAGAAAATTTGCCAGGTACAACTAGTAACGACCACCATGCATCATGCCGCGAGCAATCCTTATATTACCTGTACCAACAAAATCAGTATGGAAACCTACGGCGGTATGTCCTTTGAAAATATTTTTTGCGTCCAGAAAACCAGCACCAATTTCGTTTGCTTGTACATCCCATAAACAAACCTAAACTATAGAGTATGTCCTCAAATTAAATACACAATCTACAAATTCTAAACGGCTCACAACTGCAGTAATACGACTAAAAAGCATGCCCTTTTATTTTCTAAAACATGACCCGACACCTCATATTTCATTCGTAAACACCTCTCCTATTCAATTCCTATGCTTGCACTCATTCTCGCTACGCAAAAGCCCTCGGTTTCAGAACTGTCTTGGTCTTCTACATGATCACTGAAACCTTCCACCATAGACCTTTAATGGCTGTCTCTTAGAATTTTCGGTTTCTTCCCACGATTTTCACTGCCATTCCCTCGCAAGAAGTATTTACTGCTCCTCTACCTCCACATACTGACGAGATTCGTCGAATGTCGGAAGTGTTCCAAGCCCTAGGAATTTTCCCAGCAAAAATGCCATTTGACTGACTTTTGTCTGCTTTTTGCTTTCTTACTACAAAGCAGTTTGAATGCGCTTACACTGTCAATACCAGTTTGAGTACTCTTTATCGTTTTAAATATTTCAAGATGGACGACTAGATAACTCGCTACTGGCTTCCATTCCTGAAATAGTTTCCCCACATCTATGTGAGGCCGAAGAACCTTCACTTGGCCGATTCTAGATAAACGCTGGATTGTCGAGATTGGTTGAAACAGGTTCCTGCTCATTTTGACCGGTATCTTTGCTAGTACACTACTTGCGCCCCTTCATCACATCTTTTGTTCACGATTCATCTTCACATCTAGTGCGGATCCCAGCACACTTTGCATTCGATTCGTTTCCTCGCACCCACCATCCATGAAGGTCATCAGCTGCTGTATAAAAAATTGTCGTCTTCCTTATGAATGTCGCGAATGCTGGTCGAGTCAATTCCCCGCGTTCATGAGAAACACGAGCTAGAGCGTTTCAAGCTCAAGCTGGAATGCAGAGTGAGCTTCCCCCAAATAAGTCTGGTACCAATTTCCCATCCTCTTAGGGATGACAGGCTCAGTCAGTCCGGAACTGGTCGAATCAGCACCGTGTTAGTAATGAGTTCGCACCACTTCCACTACGCCAACAGCCCATGTCACTGTATCACATTACAAAAATACTGTACATCTTACCGTCATGTCATCGGAGGCAGAGAGAATATGACCCTGCTTATTAGGATTCCATGATAACCCGTATCCCTCCTTCGTGTGTCCACGCAGCCGCAGTTGAGGTTTGCATTGGTTGTCTTTTGGAACAGATGAGTGTTTGGTGTAGTCAAATACGAATACCTGTTGTATACATCAATAAAACATACGGAAGTCAAAAACTTAGTTGAATTGCTTAGGCAGTTTTTTTTTACAAAAGAGCGTTCCAAGTAGGAAACTAAAACGTAGAAGCTATTCATCAAGCAATCATTTTCACCAGAAATGGACATTAATTATTTCAGAAACAAATAACGATCATAGTTACATGTGAAAAACTAAGAATAATTACAGTTAATTACAGCAAGCTGAGAGAAACGCAAAGCAAGGGCCTCAGTTTTGCAATGCGTACTACGCGGGCCCCCGGAAAGGGTAGTCGTGGTTCGATCTGGTCTGGGGTGCAAGTCTGCGAATATATCAGCATCATTGTTGTTGTATTAGGATAAAATGATAACGCTCTAGGCGTTGATCAACCCTTGTGGGATGCGCCATGCATTCAACTTCATTAATTATCGTTGGAGGTGATTGAATGATATCTGGCGATGTATCGAGCCAGTGCTGCTATCTTCCCAGACAAGTTTGGTACCAATTTGCCGACCCGGAGAGATGGTAGGCTTGTTGGACCACGGGCGCGAGGATCAATTCCACATGTATCGCTGTGGCACCTCCAACCACGCCCTTATGGTTGTATTACAGTTATTATTCAGCCTAACTGTTGTAGCAAAGCTTTTAGTAATTAGTACCTCTGCGCTTGGAGACTTTGTTGCGATAATCACGGGATTTTGTGGCATATAACGTGCTCGGTTCACTTCGCCATCATGGTTGATTTTAATCTCTGTCTCGACTTTTCCAGTAATTGCTCCAAATCCACCAAATTCTAGAAAGGAGAACTCACTGCTACTCTAAACATAGATCATAAACTGATTGGGACCCGTTCGGCTACTAAAGAAGCTATATACCTCAAGAATCCGTGACAGACTTGTAAGAATTCATTTGAATCTCACACAAAAAATATTCTGAACTGCTTGAACACGTTCAATACTAATTTTCAAAACTAGACGATGGTAAAACTTACCACCCTTCTCAGTATCGTAACGGGAGGCGTCAAACTGTGCATCGTCGGTGGGCAGTTGAATCTTGCTTATAAGCAGATGATTCTGTTCATCTGATGTGTGAGTACCAAGAATGAGGCGTTGTGTCGTGTAGTCACCATTTTCCGCCTGAGCTTAATTCTGGCATAAAGAATCCAGATTACACAAACTGAAGAAAATAACCGTACAACGGCGGAAACATCTCGGAAATCCCAGCCCTATAACTACCTTTTCGTTATCAAATAATTCCATTTACACTTGGATCTCTCTACATACCTCATTGACACCTAATGGTAATGAGCAGAGAACAGAAACTCGCACATGACCAGAATTCAACAACGGATCGACAAATTAGTAAGTTCGGCAGAAAGTCAAACGGTCCATTACCTTCTGTATATCAGGTAGCCACTGAACAGTGAGACTTGGCCATTCCAAAGCATGTGTCATCACCATGTCGTACAAGAACGGCGTGTTCTTCTTCCAAATCTTATACTCCTCATTAATAACTTTCTCTTCCATACTGCCATCACTACCCTCAACCATGGTTGAACACTGCAACGAAGAAATACGCTTTGCAGTGCTTATGCTGCACAACAATACATTCCGATAAAAAAAGAATAAAGCTCTTGGCGTTGATCAATCCCTATGGGATGCACCGTGCGTTCGACTTCATTAAACAACGCTTGGAGGTGATTGAATGCATATCTGGACTTTACGATGAGTCGTGGTGGTCTACCGATGTATCGAGGCACTGGTGCTATCCTGCCAGACAAGTGTGGTACCAATTTGCCGACCCTGGAGAGATGAAAGACGGTGAGCCTGGGGCGTGGTGATCGATCCTCGCGCCCTCTACATTCTGATAACTACAAAAATACTGCACTCAGTGGACTCTCCAATATTGTAGAAAACAGTTAAAAATTACAAAAGAACAAATGTTGCAAACTTTCCTGGAAACACGCTCACTGCGGAACGAAAAAATCATCTCCTCACTAGCAACAGTCTTCGTACCACTCTACCGACACTTGAATAGCTGGACGGCCCATTTTCACGGGTTGTGTGAACCCCAGCACAACTCTTCGCTTTTTCACACCCCTCTGTACATCACAGCACGACACCCACGAACACCTCCTAGCCACGATAAGGTAGCAAACCGCTGAGAGGAACTACTCATACATTGACGTTAAACACTACTTTAGGGAAAAATAACGCTTCATGACTTTTAAAATCCCAAACCCAAGAAGCAACTACACGTTGTATAAAAGAACTTTCAATGAAAAGAAAATCTATAGTTTAAATGGATTGTAAGAACTCGAAACAACGAAAAACAAACGAACAAAAACGTCGCAAAAACAAAGAGCTGTGGGAAATCAACTTGAATCATTGCGGATTTGAAGAAGACGTAAACGTCGGAACACTAGTTGAATAGAAGTCGTATAACAACCTCGCGTAAGCTCATGAATAGTATAAAAGCTTACTAATGGCTATTGATTGATTGGTCATGCCAAGGCTGGATAAAAATTGACTTTCAAAAATCAAAAAAAAACAACTATCTGGAGGAGCTTCGAAGAGTGCTGTGACAAAGGAGGAGCGATGGTGCCGCCACCGATTTGCCGCGCCGGGTTTTTGCCGGTCCTGCAACGATGGCGACCTAGCAAAACGGCGAATGAACTATTACTGCTCGACGGTTACTGGTTCTATACTGCTTTGGGGCTACAAGTATTTGGTTGTCGTCGACTTATAGGACGTAAGGATACCCAGAATTTACTTTTTTTGAATATTCTACTTTTTTTTGCAGCGCTGACTTTCTGGTTCCTCCTACCGCTCCAGTGAACCATGTTCTGGCTGGTAGCGCTACTTACTGTTTCTCCTTGCATAATTGAGGAACGTTTGACCGCCACAACTTGACAGTGTACTTTTTCATAATCTGTATACCATACCTGATTCTGAGATAACATCTCCCCGTGCTTGGGCGTCCGTATATCCCAGGGCGCTCTTGGAAGTTGTGGTTTTGATGCATATGGGACTCATGCCGACGATGTGTTAGAATGAGTGCTGATACGGTTGACATTAGTGTTCAGTGTATTTTTTGGAATACTATGATATTCAGGTCGATATTTTCTTTTTTGTGTATTTGTGAAGTCGAGGCTAGATAAGAGACAGGATATACGGAGTTTCTGCGTTTTTAGAGCTAAAGTACTGTTGATGGAGGAGCTTCTGGAAGCTATTCGAAATCCCTTCCTCATCGTCTACGCCACAATTTTGATGTCTTTTTGCGTGGTAAGCTGTTTCTACATTTCCTGCAATACACATGGGATCGATCTCGGCACCCAGGCTCACCAAACCTTCTACCTCTCTGGGGTCGCCAAATTGGTACCAGACTTGTCTGGAAGGACAGTAGCACTGGATCGATACATCGGTAGGCCACCGCGACTCATTGTAAAGGCCAGATATGCATTCATTCACCTCCAACGGTGCTTAGTAGTCAAATGCATGGAGTATCCCCGAGGGATTGATCAACACAGAGAGCTTTATCCTTTTTATCCTTTATACATTTAATTAAACGTCCTGACTATGTGCGCATTCCAGCATTCCTTTTTCATTGATTCCGTTCGGTGTCGCGTATCCGATATCTACGAAGGCTCTCGAATTGGCGTGTAGGTTAAGTGGCTAATTAAGTATTTTTTTCTTCTTCATGGATGTCAATGGGGCTAACTTTTCCTAGACCGGTCTGGTATCGATTCTCCGATTGCGGAGAAATAGTAGACTTAGTTCTCCTTATCATTTTTATGCTAATTAATTCAGTAGTTCAAGATAGCGATACAAATGCCTTAGTAGTGGTGGCTGTGTTTCAGTGGAGCACCTAGGATTAGTAGTAACGTCTTTGTTCCTTTTTGGAAGTTCTCTATAAATAGCTGAGCATGTTTGTTTTAATGTTGAACCAAGTTTCTTTTTTTTTTCATAATAAGACCAACCTAAACTGGTATGAATTTACGGGATATTTAATGTGTCTACAAGCGCAGGCAGCTCTAAGTTTCTCAACCTCAAACACACCCTCGTTTTATGCTTTTTTCTTCGGAAAAGAGGAACCCATTATTCACGAAGTTTTTGAGTTTGTATGGAAAGCACTTTGATTTATTCTTCAGCGCTGAATTATCTATGAAGGTTGATGGGTCTTGTACAACTTTCTTATTCAACATCCACTATAATAAAGTGGTCCAGTTTATGATGCATTTGGTAGTGGTTTATTTCTTCCAAGTAGTGAAACGAACGCTGAATGTTTTGTTTCTGTTGGAGGCTTCCCAGTTTCCACATCTAAACCTTCCTAATATAAAGTATATTGCTGAGTGGTTGTACGTTCTGAGGGAAACGGAGAGTAACCCACATGCTCCGGACCCTACACATATATTAAACCGTGCCAGTTATGTCACTTAGCTACTTTCCACTGTATAGTAATCAGAATGAATAATCTAAGGTTACAAAAGCAGTTGTATTTTCAAGTTGTGTATTTCAAGGGGTCCAAATCCATCTCAATTGATCAAAAAGTGAACCATTGGAACCTGTATATTTTTGCTAGCAAAGTATATGTTTGTTCTGATGTAATAAAATTCCAAAATCCCAAGGCTGTTTTTTTTTGTATGTGCGGAAAAAATCATTTTCAAAAAGAAACCATTGTAGCAGCGCTCTAACTTTGGAGCCTGGAGAGCTTCGATGAATCCACATAACTTGTTATGGATTGTTTTTCACCATCTGCCCTATCGTCGGATTATGTCCAAGTTTCGATAAATTTTTATTTTTTCCATTATAAACCATCGTTACGGCTAGGTATTGATGCGGGACCAATCTTTCTAAAATTGAGCGACTCGTGTGAGAGTTTCAAGATAGTTACAAATCGTCCTTAAAAGAAGTGAAAATTTTTTTAAATTACAGTAAGTTGTCCAAAAACAGTTCAGCTTCTGAATGCTAGAAATGGTACTTAATAACTTTTTCTTTCTTGTGCGTCTTGTTCCATAACAGCCTGCAGTACCATGAACGGTTCACTCGTAGTGTTTTGTTTGAAATCACTTTTGGTGAATAATTGGATTGGATTTCTTAAGCTTAAGTTCTCATACTATTGATATAGACGGCTCGACCTTTAGACTGTATACTAGGACTTTTGCTTTCTTTTCATTCACTTTCTTTTCTGCAGGCTACAATATTTAGTTCATATCAGGTACATGGATGTCAGCAACTTGGAGATAAAGTTGAAATTGAGTTCCAAGCGTTTCGTCTGCAACAGTTCGAACTAAGTGGCAACGTTATAGGGAGCAAGAATTTCCGATTTCAATACGAGGCTGTCTCTTTGAATTCGAGTGCGCTGAGGAGGTAATCGCTGAGAATTTTCATCTCGTCATCTATTACATTGTTGATTTTACTGTCTCAGATGCATAGTAACCTCATGGCGAGAGTTGATTGGCCACAATGTTGACGAACTGCTGGCAAACAGTATCGGCGCGGTGCTCATTATTATACCATCAGATTTGGATGCACTTTCGCCAACTGACAAGACGGTGATTGTAAACTCGTCTTTCTGCTTTGCTATTTCAACTAATTTTTTCTTCCTTGGAAATCTTTATTATTCATCGAACTTCAGCTCTTTACGAATTTGGAACGCAAACTAGCCACAGCACGCACTGATCTGGCCGTTTACGTGTGCCATTCATCGCCTGAGGCCAACGCCATTCTAAGCGATGTCCAGTCATCTTCTGGCGTTAAAAATTTGGCAGTCCAGCAACTTATGAGTTCTATTGCTGCGAATACTTTCCAGGTAGATATCTTTGTTTTTCAGAAATTCAAGTTGTCATTCGATCTTATTTTAGACATAGTTTTTAAAGATTATGATTTAGTTCACATCAGCAGGGTCACCATCAATGAATGCTCTGACTTACAAGCCCAACAATATCATTGTAAGTGTTTGTAAGATTTCAATCCGTACTTTTCTTTTCATCGTCTTAGTCATTTGTTTATACACTCGTTATTTGAACGTTTTTGACCTGATTGCAATGTTCACTTTATGCTCCTTCCATGTCTAAAAAGTGTTGTTCATTCTATGTCTGCGTCCATCTACATATACATATAGATGTATATATACATGTAGTTATGCATGTATATGTGCATGCACGTGTAAATATCTGGATATATATGTACATACATACATATGTATACATGTACAATGTTTAAAATGTTATTTGTAGGGTCGCCTAAGTAGCAGCAGACGATCCGCACCAACAATTGCTTTCATTGCTCATTATGATTCCCATGCCGCATTCCCTGTGAGTCTTTTCTTGCTGTGCGGCTGCTGGATCTTTTTAATGAAATTGAGGAAAAATCTTGTTCTAGGGCATTGCTGTAGGAGCGGACTCGAATGGGAGCGGTGTAGTAGTTTTGCTGGAACTACTTGCTATATTCCGGAAGTTTTATGAAAAGGCTTCTACCAGGCCCTCATTCAATCTAGTCAGTGTCACCATTTTTGCATGTTTATTTATGAATGTGGTATACATAAATAACATGTATGTTTAAAAATGCTTCGGCGCTGTAAGTTACTCAGAAAAATTCGTTGCTGTTGATGAAGAAGTCGTTTTCACCAAAGAATGGAGAAGAGAATCTATAGGTCTTTTTCAACAAGATATAGCCAGTTCTATGGAGCCCACAAGAAATTTTCACTTCTTCCTTTATCGAGGGTCGTATTTCAAGCACCGAAACAATTAACATTTGGCATTTCATAGAAGTGGATACGATAGTTTCTCTCAACATGTCCTTCATGTTTTTTGGCTTCTGGGCCTGCATTAAAGCTTCTGAATAGCTTTTATAGATTTGTGAAGTTGTGGACCCCTCAACTGCGCTATTTTTAAAAATCATTGGTAAGGACAAAAGGGTAAAGCATTCGGCGTTGATCCAATCCCTGAGGGATGCGCCATGCATTCGACTTCATTAAGCATCGATGGAGGTAATTGAATGCATATCTGGCCTTTACAATAACTCGCGGTGACCTATCGATGTATCGAGCCAGTGCTGCTGTCCTCCCAGACAAGTCAGGTACCAATTTGCCGATCCCGGAGGAATAGAAGATTTGGTAGGCATTGGGCGGGGGGATCGATCCCATGTGTGTTGCAGGCGCCTCCGACCACTGCGCCATACGCGCCCGTTAAGGTTCGTGGATAAGGCATTGATAATTAGTATAAAGCCGGCATGACCCGTTACATGTTATGCAAATCTTCTTGTTAGTTCCTATGATTAGTTGTTATACTTGCAATTTTTATGTTTTTCCCTATCCAGGTTTTCGTATGGACGGCTGCGGGGAAATACAACTACCAGGGAACGAGGCAATTTATCGAAGATTTACAGAGTGATAATTCAGGTACCGCATATTGTTATGATGTAGAAAGTGTCAAAATAGTTCCAGAATGCCGCAAATGAGTTTTAAAATATTGGCACATGCTTATTCCAACTATCTTCTGCAATTTTATGCTTTAACAGTAGAAGCAACCCAATAATAGAATTATGCATATGATGGATGGTATTCATGTTTTCTTTAGAGGACAATCATCTAGAACTAGCCATCTGTGTAGAAGCACTTGGTGGAACGGGTCCACTATACATGCATGCGTCAAAACAGCCTGCAGAGGGATCTGCTGCTGGTTAGTAGACCTGATGTATTTTTCTAAAACTCTCCAGTCCTTCTGAAATTATATATTATTATAAAACCCTACCTTTATGGATTTTTTCCCAAAATAGTGAAATTGTCTGTTGTACAACCACAACGAAGACTAGCTGAGAGAAATGCAAAGCATGTCTCATGTGCGGTTTGTAATGCGCGATCCCCAGGAAAGGGTAATCGTGGTTCGATCTGGCTCAGGGTCCAAGTTTTTCGAATATCTCAGCATCGTTGTTGAATTTTGCATCATATCCTGCTATGAAACATTATGGTAGGCACCAAGTAAAAGGTTGGCAGTATCTGTTGTGTCTCACAAATAAAAGAAATGGTTCTTCTTAGAGAATCGTGTTAAGTGTTTTGGTTTTACATTTCATTATTTTGTGACCTGTTTGTTGAACATTTTCTCCAGATCGTCTTTTACGTCGTCTTCGTCTCGCAGCGCCAAATCATATCGTAGAACTAGTCACAAAGAAGATAAGTGTGAACCAACCGTCATCATGGGAGCACGAAAAGTGAGTTCCTTTCAGAGAAAGGTAGTAGCCAGCACTTAACTCCTTTACAGATTCAACATAAAGCGCTTACCAGCTGTCACATTGTCTCGTTTGTCTGCTCACGATGATCCAATTAGGAAATCGATGTTAGATACCGTCGGACAACTGAGCATGGAATCATTGGAACAAAACATTCGGTAGGTGAACTCACTAGTTACTTCGAATATGATTCTACGTTACGACTCCATTATTTTTTATTTATTTTAACATAAGTTTTGCTGTAATTATTGAGCACTGACTTCGCAATTAGTCAGTACGGACGGAATTGTCATAGTCTATTTTCAGTTTAATTATTTAATTCAAGGCCTGGAAATTGTGGTTGTATACTTCCAACAACTTCCTATATCATGCAGTATACAATATACAATTTATATCATAAAAGTCCTGGGAAGCAGATAGCACAGTACTGGTGATGCCGTCGATAGGTAAATGGCCTGGTTCAACTCCGCGTCAACACAACCATGACCTCCATCCCTCCGTCCGGGATCAGGAAGCTGGTATCAGATTCCTCTGGAATCATCTCACTCCCTTCAAACTACAAATGACTCTTAGTAATTGCCTGCGAGGAAGATGTGGGAACTCCCAGAACGACTTTCTCGAGAGTTGCTGTGAATTATCGAATGTTGGGTAATTAAGTATGTTAAGTGGATTTCGATGAAGCTTGTTCATTCGACATTACCAAGCTGTGAACAAATATATTTTATCAAAAACATGGGCAGCAGTATAGGATTCTCTAACACTTAAAACTCGATGTTATTTAACATGCATTCATACTGGAAAAGGATCTGTCGGTTCGAATTGGTATCGTTTCGTTTCTTGTCGTTTTTGGTAGGGTGTGATGATTGTTTTCTATACTTCTTGTATCCAGTCGAAGCTTTTCCAATGAAGAGCGTTTTAATAAGCGTTGGGTCAAAAAAGCTGTTCTCTAAATTTTATAGGATGAAACGAACTTACGTCAAGTCACAAAGGATGTTGCTGTTATGAAGAGGAGCGCAAGTATAGAGACAGCACCTTTATTGAGGACAGTGCCAAAGTGTCTGTATGACCTGCATGAGTCCTTCTGCGATTTATTGCCTTTTTTTTGGCGGTATAGTAGAAAGACTTTTGCTAGTGAGGAGGACATATTTGAGGGGAGCAGATCATTATTTGATTTCAATTCACGGCACTACTTCCGTTGAAAAATCAAGAGTCGATGAGACTTAGCATTCATGCGAAATTGGGCTTCGAACTCTAAATGTTAGTATCAATTTGATACTGACTATTGTAAATTTAGAGTACTATAGAATATTGATAAACAAAACTACGAAAACTGTCTTAGTACGATTGCCGAGGCTGTACTTGGACACATGCTGTCTTTGCCCGAAACTGGTTACTCTTCTGATCCGCGTGTCTCAGCTGATACATCACTGTTATCACGAGATGCCGTTGATCGACAGAGATTGGCCCATTCGATTCGACTTTTCGGGTCTCGACCACGACCAGTTGCTGATGAGGCCGCGACGGTTGCATGTGCGGCAAATTTAGCAGTAGCTGTAGGAAACTACGCCAAGGTATGTATGTTAACTTCTGCTCTCATGTAGTGTTTTTACTTTTTCACTTTAGGTCACAGTATCATCCGTCTCAATGCATGAAGTACAGATTTGGCCTGGAACGTCAGATCGCTTGATGGCAGAGCGTGTCAAACCAGCTGTTTTTGATCTCATCATCGCTGGTGGTGTATTCTCTTACCTCGTCGTATTTTATTATGTGAGTAAACTGAAGTCTTTCATGAGAATAACGCTTTTTGACTCACATTCAAGTTTTGTTGCCTTATCTCTGAATTTATCTCCATATTTGGCTAGGACCGAAGTTCTATTACGAAATTATAACAGTACCTCGTACATTTAACGCAGATCCCGTCTACTGAATGTTGGTGGCCAGGTTGTTCGCCCACTTTAAGGACGAAGCATGAGGCTTGAGTGCTGCGCATACTTTAGAAAACATTTGAGATTGATTTAAGCATGTTCAGTTATATTTCACAACATACCTTGCCATTAAGAAGAAAAAGGCAGTAAATAAAAGAGGTAAGCATGTTCAGTCTAGAAGCGTCCAGCGTTTACCACCTGACTATATACTAAGTGGAGTCGAAATGGTAGTGTCTAACATTTTTATCCAACATGAATTCCGTTCGATGAAAATTATGAGGAACGGTTACTATCTTTCGTCAAGACCGCAAAGCTTTCGTTGACGTCGTTACACAAATTCTGACATAAAACTAACGAAAAGGAGGCTAAACTGGTCACTACCATTCCCGAAGATTCTAATTTATATCGAGCATTCCATGCATATTAGTTTTTTTACGCTTGGAGGACAAATGTGTTAAGCTAGACAAATTCTGGCTAAATCAGAAGCTATTTTGGTCGAGGGGATTGGTAGAGCTGTGCACAGACCAAGTGCCTTCCAGTAGTTCTCTACGAAACACACACCGTTAGTGTTCTGACTTTTTATTACATATTCGTGCTTCGTACTTTATAAAAATGTGCAGAGTTGAACTTGTTGTTGAGCGAAGGCACTTTTAGCCGTATGTTTCCTTCCCAAAATTGTACCCATATTTTTAACGCTTTTTAAACATCTGTTCCTGCTGTAACAATGTATGCCGTTAACTGTTATGTTCTAAACAATACCACGTTTTACATGTACTTTCTTAAGTATTGAATATGTTCAAATGCCACAAACTACTTATAGTAGGCATTGTTCATCGAGTTGAATATTTCAGATGATCAACAAAGCCCAGAGTACGCTCGAAATTGCTATGCTCAAATTACGGAAACGACTATAACATGGACGATTATTGGTGTATCAGTAATTTATTAATTTAGTCTACAGGATCCATCTCATTTGCTCCTGAGTAGTTAATATGTGAATTAAAAGAATTGGTCCCACTATTTCTACCTTCTTCAATATTGATGTTAGAAAGGAAATCTGTAGCAAACAACAGTCACTACAGAAAGGCTTTTTGACTCTAGCAGGCTTATGGTTTATTCGATATCTTGAGCTTTTGTGCCAGTATTCGCTTGAATCTTATTCTCTTTTTTTCGGAAAGTTCCGTTTGCGCATTCATGACCCTTATTTTAAGTGTGTGTGCTGCTATATTTAACTCGATGTTTGCTACCGTATTTCCAGAAAATATCCCAGTGAAATATTTCCTGTCCTATGAGTTTCTATGCAGAGAGAAATGTTGGCAGGACGACCTGTGTTCTGATGTTTTCTTGCTATGCCGTTGAATGAGTTGCATCTTCAGGCACATTCTTGTTTAGTTTTGTTATGGTTGGTCAACTTTTATGAATGTTGTGGGTATACAATTACGGCAACAACAGTACGGGAATAGATGGTGAATTCATTAGATGTGTAGTTGTGCACCGATCTATGTCTGGTGACATTGCCTCTCTAATTCAATTTGATTGTTATATTACTGAGTAGGGCTTTTTTCTCTAGAATCTAGACATAGTCGTACTGAGACTTTCTTGGAAGATGACCGCATGGGACTCGTTCTAGTTCTTCACAGCGCGCCATGATTTGTTGGACACAGCGCGTCATCTCCACTTTTAGGCTTAGTTGAAGCTAAAATTCTTAGGATTTCAAATGTAACCTGGGCAAACGCGAACATCAGCGATGCATACCGGAACGCATGCTTCAAGTAGACGGACATCTCTTTTGCCCAACTAGGTGGCTGCTTGAGATATTGACGAGAAAAATTTAGCTCCAGATTCATGGATTCCCTGACAGGATTTGGAAGCATTCTTGTCGGCGAAGATCTCCATAGATTTTGATGCTTCGCTTTTCAACTAATAAAGTTCACGATGAGATGAGATATGTTTATTTAAAGTTGGAAAAGCTAGAGTACTTTAGCGTGTCCACATTGTGCTTAAGCACTAATGGGCCGACTATTGGAGTATTAACTAATTTATAGGGTTCACTATTTGTGGAGAACACAACTGATTTTAGAACTACAAAAAACGGAAAGTGAGAATCTGGTTGTTGCTTCCAGAAAATTTAATGGTAAAGTAGCGGCTCGCAGCACAATTTAAACAGTAGGAGGAAGTGTTCATGTTGGGAATAACACAACAAAGAAAAGAATACGCAAACAATATTCCCAAAAAGATGTTATATTATCTTGTCTTTATCAGAAGATATTACAGAGATCTACCCATATCTCCTGAGAATTGGGTCTACCTACCATTTTTATGTGAAGTCGTCGTACTGTCTACTAATGCAAAGTTGGGTGATTAGTGAACTTTCACATGATAACCCAGATATCAACCGCAAATCTCGTATTCCATTGCATTCAATAAAGTTCAATTAAATCTTTGGAATATTAGGATGTTTTGATGGGATGTTAATAACGAGTTTTCAGTGGATATGGAAGACAGAAGTAACCGAATAGTAATTTGCTATATACTGGTGTTAACTGTTATGCTTCCAAGCATGGTTACAGTTTTAATCTTATTACACTTGAGCAAACTACAGAAATTTGTAGAAGTTCGAGATGAAAGGGTTCCTAATACAGAAATTCAGTGTTGGTTCTGTCCGCAGTACTCATTTACATGAATTGATCTTCCCGAAAACTTTCTTCGTTGTCATAGGCAATGGTGCATCGTCCTTGTTCGCAACGCTCTTCGTAGTATATCGACGTTTCCTCGAAACCTTCGCAGTTCCCTCCTGGTTGGATTTTCGCTATACAAAGTGGAATACTCTTCTGTTATATACTGGAATACTGTTCTCCAGGTGACAGAACAGGTATCTGAAAGACAAAACTATCACTACGTATTCCCCGTAATTCCAGTAATTCGCGTTTTATCGGGTGAATGTCGTTCTAGGTGTCTAACAGCAAAATACAGCGGTAAGTTTGTCCAGCACTGAGGTCATACAAGAAGTATGACGAGTTCGATATTTTCATCTAGGAGCCCAACCTAAGATCCTGGTATTCGAGGTCATGCTGAGAAGAACAACCCTTTAAACAAAGTGGAACAACACCTCCCTCAGATCTTCGACACTCGGCGACTGCTTGTGCTGACGGTTTCGTTATTGTCTTTCTCGGGTTATTCCAGACTTCAAGAGAATAACCGTACCAAAAAGATGAGTTGTGGTAGTTTAATACATAGTCCCAGAGCTTGGTTTTTCAACAACCGACGATAATTTTTAATCATTTGGGAATTTAAGGAATTGAGGACACAGATTTATAGACCAGACTTTGCTGTATAGTCTTAAGCGTCTATGTTATCATTACAGATATTACTTCGACTTTAATTTCGTTTGAAATCGCAATCCTCAAAAAGTCGAAAACGGTCTGATTTTTAAATTCTCCAACGGAAGTGCGGCAGTTGCAAATATATTAGTGAAGACATCATGTCCTGCTGGACGAGATCCCTCTTGTTCAATTATTAAGGACGAAAGCTGCTTTTGCATATGACGTATCGTATTCTAAGGCTTATCGTTATTGGATGCTGTTACTATCAAATTTTGTTAACAAATTAGCGATGAGGTCAGTTATACACTAATTTTCCTTTCGTACGTTTATTTTGCCATAGAGTTTTCTTGCTACACGTTTTGTAATCAATCAGGAAGCTCAGCCAAGGGTGAACTAATATCAGGATCCCCCACCATCCTGGTATCAAACTAGTGGCATGGTGGCAAATCTCTCTCTGAACCACAAGGGCGGCGACTGCCTGTGGTAGTGACGAACTGGAACAGACATTGGCCAGGCTGATCTCGGGAATCCAAGGAGCCGCGATCGCTAAACCGGCAAAACTCCGAAAAAGTGGGAATTATCCTGGGGCCTGCACAACCAGTGAGGACGAGCCATCTAAGTATCCAAATAAGTAAATGATTTGACTGGCAACTGATGGTTACTTCAATTCTAACCGCTATTATGGATCATAGTTGTCGTATGGAGTTATCGTAAGGAAATCTACTCAAGATAAGGTGTAAAAAACTTTCATACGCTGACAGCAAGGTGGTTGTATGATGGATTAAAGTAACATGTAGTAAATAGTAGCATACATACAATGCGCACCGTATGGCAATAAAGCAACTCCCTTCTACAATCCTGTGTTGTTCGCTGACCCTCAAGTCCTGTATTTGTTGAGAAGAGGTTTTCTTTATTGTCAAAAAATCAGAAAGCCCCTAACGACATGAAATTAGCAGGCCTCCCATATCCACTCCACATAGAATATGCGTCAGCAACAATGGGTTAAAGATCGTTTCATTAAGCACGGTTTTTTTTGTCACAACAACGAGCTTGAGCGAAACAGCGGCAAAATGGGCTCACTTTGATCCACAATCCTGATTAGATTTTGAGCATCTTGGTCACTTATCGTACTCGTACATGTAATCCGTATAGTGGTTCGAAAGCACTTCTTCGTTCGTATACGGCTCTAGATCCTGAACAGATGTCATTGTAAACAAACTTTCATTAAACTTCGATATAAATGACTAATGTGCCTTGCATCATCGATAAGCTAACATGAGGTTGTTACTAAACTTGTATTCTTTCGACGTCTTCGTCTTCCTCAGTATGACCTCTTTCAGGCGGTGTTCTGCTGAAGAAGATCTGACTCTATGCGACGACGAAGACACCGCATCGAGAGTACGAACCATCATAGGCATCGACTTTGATCATCGGCTCTGAGGAAGATGAATACGTCGAAACGTTAGCCGAATAAAAGTTTGCTAACAACCTCGGGTTAGGCCTATCAGTGAAATAAAGTACCTGAATAGATATTTTGTTTAGATCAACTTTTAATCGTTCATTTCAGTGATTAAATATTTACTTTCTACTTCTGTTCAGCAAACACGAGGTGCTATTTTATTTCATTATTTACCCACAAGCTGACATTTCGGCGGATTTCGCCTTCCTCAGAGCCTGGAAAGGTCAAGTTGATAGCAATCTACTAGGCCAGACGCCTCCATAACCAAACAAAGAAACTCTAAACCAAGATTTCAATCACATTTAGCATAGCTCTGCACACTCACCGCTTTCTATGAGTCTTCCGCTGAGTATGTCGCGTGAAGACCGACTGCACAGAATTCACATGGAAGCGTAATGTGCCCCTCCCATCAGAATAACAGCTTTATATACTGTCCAATATCACGCGTGATAACGAGGCATTCCCCCCTGCGATTCATTTTCGGATTATTGGAATTAATCCAGAATGCCTCTAGAATTTTGCGGGCTTGTGTTCTCGATTCTTGCGCGAGGATCGTAACCCTTACTTCAAAATCTTCTCCGTTTTGTTTCTGCGTGCTATGCGTCCTAGTGGAGTACTTGGCTTACGTTTGCCGACTAGGTGTTCTTTTATACGTACGCAGAGTGGTCTACCCGTTTCGCCAACGTATTCTTCCCCGCACGCTTTACAAGAGATCAGATAGACTGTACCCGAACTTATGCAATCACCGTCTCTACCATTGGGGCATATTATGCAATTTTGCGTTGCACATAGACGGTCGTATAGGCGGTTACGAACTAGCTGGCGCCTTACATTACTCGGTGGTATTTTGATTATCGTTACCGAATTCCCTAGACTGGCCCTTCTTAAACAGCGTTTTATAGCTGCACTTACTTCATTTGAAATGAAGGGCAGTATAAACGGGACCTTGTTGTCGCTAGAGTTATCGTTGGGGTACCTGTGGTTTCCTCTACACCTATCTCGAACTACGGTTTCGTAGCCATTAAAAATGGCTATTTGCCGCGCCAAGTTCCGGGACTCCTCTCTCTGTTGTCTTCCTGTGCACACGCTGGTACATGTTCGATACATGTTTCTCACAAGCGCCCTTTTCGTGTGAGAAGGATGAGAGGAGAAGTAATGAACAAGGATGTTTTTACTACTTGGCTTTCGATACCACTTCGTAATGTAGCCGTTTTCTGATAGGCTAATTTGCACGTTCAGAAATGGAAGCCAGTCTTCTTTTGGTTTCTCTTGGGTGAATTTAATATACTCTGACTGTGTGTTAAACAACTCGAAACATCTGTCGATTTATTCTTGCGTTGAACAAATGACCAAGCAGTCATCTATATATCTACAGTAGTGTAACGGACCGAGGTCGATTACTGGCGCTTCCACCTTAGACATGAATGCAATGGCAAGACTTGGTGCCAGTCGTTGTCCCATTGCCAGCCCTCTCATTTGTGCGTAATACCTCCCGGACTATCTGAAGGTTGAGCAGTTTAGGCACTCCTTTAAGAGTGTCATCAACTGCTGCTGCTGAATATTTACTGTTATTCAATCTCTGCCATGAGCAGCCATAACTACAATTGCGAGAAGCTACCGATAGCTCAGCAAGCGCTAGCGTTTCCGACAAGTATTGGTATTTCAGCATATTAGTCATTTAAGGATGAAAACCTTTCACCTTAAGTGAAGCGTTGCCGAAGTGCATTTCAGGATAGCAATCCGGAAGAGGAGGTGGATAGTCGGTTTCACGCTGGTCACGTGTCTGAAATACTTCTAGAAGTCAGGTGGCGACACTTCTTCACGTATAGTAAAACATTACAGCGGGTTTTCTTCTCCTTACTTGCTCCTAGACAGCTATAAAAGTTAGTTTACCTGATGTAGCTGTCTCCACATTTCCCAGATATGATCGACCATAGTGTGGTGGAAGAAGAAAATTGGCTTCGAAATATGATGTTGTACGTTGAAGCCATTGGAAACACAGTAAGTAAGACAAAGATAAAGTTCTGTTTCACCTCGCTAGTCGACGAGTACGTTTCTTTCATATCACCGTTGATGAAAAAGTGGGCATAATCATGTGAGTACGATAACAGTCGACCATCGGGGATGATTATTTTGCATGTCTGAAAGGCGTTTGATCGTTGAAACTTCTCTTTTACTGCCTACAGAAACTGTAATAGTACATCACTACTATTCTGTACATTAGGAATATTTCAAGTACTCACTACTACGTAACGCATACGTTTAAATTACAGTATTCAGGCATGTAAGTATGAAATTGCTCATTTTCAAAGTAACATGCACAGGACTTTTTCCCACGATGGTTCATGTGTGACCCCAACGGGCCGACTTGCAGGGTTCAAAGGGTGGACTTCCTCAGATGTTTTCTTGGATGACTAAACTAATACGAGGGCGCTGCAAAGGTTTCATTCTGCTGACGTTTCGGCGCCGTCACCTTCTTCAGAGCCGCAGTCCTGCAGGCATAGACTATCAACAGTCGTTCATCATTGCGATGAGGATATTCGTTGTCGCATCGACTCGAATCCGTTGCTGTGGAGTAGCGTCCAAATGAAGAACTTCACTTGACAGTACTCTTTTAGAATATTAACAAATGTACTGTTTCGTATGAAGCAGTAGCTATAAAAGAATATGCATCAGTACCAGCTGCAGCAGACGTCTTGCCTACGCCATAATATCGAGCTGCGATGATGACACTAAGGTATTTTATATGGCCACGATGAGAAGGTATGCTTAATAGAAGATCATTTTTTTCGACTTCAGTGAATTTTTGTCCTAAAAGTTCTGAAAAACTCTATTCAAGGACTCAGGAACTACCTGAATTCGTAATGAGTGAAGCTTTCCAGGAGCTCTACTCTTAACGATTGAGGCGAAAGTATCTCAGCGGAAAGTACCACAATGAAATTGAATATCGAAGACCTTTTCTGCCAATGATGTTGTTGTTCTAAAGTTCTACAAGGGATGAAACCACCACCTTTACGCCTGATTCTTGTTTCCGCGAAATTGAGAGAAGGGCAACAAAGTGCAAGAAGCGGAATCGCTGGGTCATTATTAACGGTAATTTTCTTTTTTTTGGACAGCTTTGAGAGGACGCCGTTAAAAGCACCGGTACTAGTTACTGGCAGAGTTACTAAGGTGACTAAGAAGTGGATATCCCTGGAAACTCGTCAGAAATTCCAGCAAAGCGGAGATGCATTGGTCACATAAAGCCGGCAACTTCCCATCTGAGCATGCAAAGGTTCGGAAAAGGGCAATGAAAAAAAAACCTCCAGTAGAGAATAAAGAGAACGACTGTACCATATGAGGATTTCGTTCAGGTTGGGAAGAGGATCCTTAATGACTTTTCGCACTTCGCCAGACGGATTAGTCACCACATTCAAAAATATGATGGGGACCATTATCTACCATGTACTTCTCCAATCTCATCGATAGCGCGACTTCCACGGTACATTTGGAAAATATGAACTGTAGGTGAACTTAATGGAACGACTTTTATGAGAGCTGGATTTGTTCTAGATGCCACATTTACACTCAGTGGAACGAATATCTCTGAATACTTTCGCTATGTTTTGTATTTAGGAACGGAAGTCAAGATGATAAACGACTTAACTAGAATGTTGAATAGGATGAAATATGCGGCTGAAGGAGTTTGTAGTAGTATGAAAAATATAGTGGACAGCACAAAAGATGCTAGGCTTTTCTCTAATCTCCGTGTCTCCCCTCGAGTAACCTAACGCTACATGTGCTGATGATGGCAGTGATACCAGCACTTCCCAACGCGCTTCTCAAAACAGTGTAAGAAAACCCACTTTACGCAAACAACAGAAGAAATTCGGTCTGATAATTCCGAAGACTGACTTTCATGAACCTCGACTCTGATAACGAGCACAGGAATTTGAAGCTTCGATCGTCGAAGACCACAGACGAGGGACATGACCGCATACGACGAAAGTATCAGAAACATTAGAGCCTCTACGCCCCCGAACGAGCCACTGAACCAAATTTCCACGACCAATAACCAGTTTATAATATTTCTTCATGGGATTTTGAACAAAAGGCATTATGCTTCAATAGTGCTCCAAACAAACATGATATATTCTAGAGCTCTGAAGTAGGACAAGAGTGAAAGGCAATAGCTCCCGGAATCAACTTTCTATTAACCTCGGCATTGAATTATAATTTCGTTGTTTTCTTTCTCAGCAATCGCGAGCTTGTTAAACAGTATTAAACAGTGAAGGGTAATTTATTTGCAATGGTTTTCGAATCATTCTATGATTATTGAAAGGTTAGGTGATACATGCGATGTCAACTCTGATCAACAATGTACGGTATTGAAAAGTACTAGAACATAGATCTCGTCGAGAAGGTGCTGTGAATTCTTGCATCGTCTTGCAGACATTTTTAGGCCATACATGAGTCCTTTCAACCAACGAGGGAAAACGCGTTTTTGATAAAAGGATAAATACAAGATAAAGCTCTCGGCGTTGATCAATCCCAGAGAGATGCGCCATTCAGTCGACTTCACTAAGTATCGTTGAAGGTGATTGAACGCATAGCTGGCTTCTACAGTGACTCGCGGTGGCCTACCGATGTATCAAACCAGTGCTGCTATCCTCCCAGGTAAGTCTGGTACCAATTTGCCGACCCCGAAGTGATGGAAAGTTTCGTGGGCGATGGGGCGGAGATGGATTCCGGATGTGCGTTGCAGGGCGCCTCCGACCACTGTGCACGCGCTCTACGGGTTTGTGATGATAAAAGTATTTCAGTGAATATAGTCTGGTAAAATATCTCCATTGATCAGCTTAGTGCCAAACTGAGGTTACGTAAAATTTGGAAAAAAAACGAAAGGTTCATTTACACTAATGAGCCATGGAGTTACACGGATGCCATAACAAACCTCCAAGGGCATCGCGGCCGCCAGTACTTGTTCGATACACTCTTGCTGAAGAACAAAGTCAATGCGTGCGTTGTTCAGCAACTCTTCATTGCTCATGTCGGGCACGAACCTAAGAACATGGCGCGTTCCGTAAATCGCATCCATAAAATGACCATAACGGAGTTGGTAAGTAATGTCCATAAATGTTAGGGTTTCGCTTGACCGCCTGTTAAGACACGATAATGGAAAACAGCAATGGGCGAGCAAATTCTAAACGGGCATTATGTGCTATAGATTAAGCAAAGACAACTGACCTCCATAATTTTCCAATTCGAATACGGTCCATCCACAATATACCCTGTAGAATTGGTTGCGCCCATGAAGGGGGGAGAGAAGAACATCGATTCACAAGGGTCGGGCAGCTCGGACTTAAATGTGGATTCTCAAGAATACGTGCCGATATTCCACGGGTTTCCCTCGTACAAGAAGTTTCAACACAGCTTGTCAAAAACGATTGACGAATCATAATGTGGGGATAAATGTTAGCCGGAAGCGACCCTATACCTCTGAAACGCATCAGGGAATGGGTTGGTTGCGCCTTTGTTTTATCTGATTGACTTAAGCCTTTTGTATTCGTATCCTGATCCATAATACGGCATAATAGCATCCACGTTAATGAGCGTGGATTTATTTACGTATATTCATAGTAATAAGCGGGTGTGGCGCAGTGGTCGGAGGCGCCATGCAACACATGCGTGGAATCAAGTCCCGCGCCGCTGGCCCACCAAGCCTTCCACCCTTCCAAGGTCTGCAATTTGGTACCAGATTTGTCTGGGAAAATAGCAGCACTGGCTCGATACATCGGCAGGCCAATGCGAGTCATTGTAAAGGCCAGATATGCATTCAATCACCTCTAAACGATGCTTAATGAAGTCAAATTTATGCCGCATCCCTAAGACGTTGATGAACTCCATGAGCTTTATTTTGTTTATCCCTTATATTCAAAGTAGATCATGCATGTCAATTAAGCCTAGATCCTGAACTGGCTGGTAGAATCGATGGAGTCGGGTCGAGGTCGCCTCCAACAACCAAGCGCACATTTACTTCTTGAGTGTCTATATACTAGGCGCTGGCCAAAAGGTACATCTCAGTGAGCTACTCATAAGTACTATCTTCCTAAAAATGATAAAAATAACGGCTTTACCCGGAAGATGCAGAATTCTGTATGTCCCCTGAGTGAGGAAGCTAGGCAGCTATGGTGCCTTACAGGGGCTGATGTGCGAATTAGTGTTTATATTGGGTTACTAGCGATGCAGATAGTTCATCGAACCTAACTTTTATAACGCCATGCTTTAATAAACTTACTTCAAGTGAGCTGTCCCAATATGGTAGTCCAAGGTTACTCCCAAGCGGAAGGAATCTTCGAAAAGCAAGTTCGAATCTAAGTAAAAATATAAGCAGTAAATCAACTTGTTCACGAATTGTGATCATTGGCGAAAAGATAGATGTAAACGAAAGCAAACACGCGAACCTTTTCAGATACTCTCTGTGCCATGTGAAAAAACCAGGCCCCTCATGTAGCCCACTATATCTATGTACAAAACCAAATCTGTCGTAGATACCAGACTTTTCATTTTGTTGAAAGCAACCTAAAAACTCCAGAAGTTTATCACTCGTTGTGGCTATGGAATACTTCTATTATTGAATCAGAACGTGCAGAGAGAGTTTTCCTCATGTTCTCCAAAATTAAGGAAGGCTTTAAAATTCCTACACGAAAGTCTAAGAGTTTATCGCCGTCGTATTGGTAGAAACCAAATGGTGGGTTAGCAAGCCTCGGGTCCTCAAAGCTTTTTTACAAGACGAACTAATTTCCTTTCAGTGCCGTTTAATCCCGTCCAATCTTTGATAGCACAGATAAAAAACAAAGAGCGGGCAGATCGAGTGGTAGTTAGTTATTGGCGTAGATCTCCCATGTACTATAACCAGTGCCTGCTGGCTTCCAAATCCACCCCAAGGGTAGCGGATTTAGGTATACTGACTTAGTTGTTCGATGATTCTGTACAGCCCATTGGTAACTAAACACCTACTGCAATCTGATTGCGTTCACTATTGCTAAGCATACGAGTTTCTTTTCGCACCGCCTTCTGTAGAAGTTTGCCGTTCGGCAACACGCAATTTCCACCGGACACTTTACCTGCAATATAGCTCACTACTTCGCAATCTGATAGGATAGTGAGTAACAATGCTATTCACGTTGAACGTCGTATTTAGAACAGCCAAGCAAGTAGCTTCTATCTACTTGTTGAGTGGCTTGGAATTCTGTAGGAGGTCACATCGATAAAGAGCGCCTCACCTTTGTAGTATGGACAAACGCAAGTCAAATTCATACACGGCAAACATTCCCGCTCTTCGTCAGTCCAGTCATGTTTAGCATAAATGTCATCTTCTGGCAAGAGGTGTCTTCCGTACATGGACTGATTCACTTGCGCCACTGGGATCTGAAAAAAGTTTGTCTTTTAAAACCTAGAGTCTTATGTGAACCAATTCTCATTCAAAGATTGGAGGGAGCAGATCGACCAGAGTGAGTTGATATCGACTCAATTTCATAGCGATGATTTTTCTCTCCTTACCACGCAGAAGTTTTCGGTGTAAGTTTTGTATTGAACCGATGGCTTATCTATAAGTACTGATGTGGAGGGCATCGACTCATAAGGGCTATTCTCCATACCTAATAAGTCGCAATAAACTGTTTTCCAGATGCGTTTGCACAGAGGCAAGAAACTTGCTGGTAAAGCACTTCCCATTATTAAGATCGTTGGAGGTTGAGTAGTATGCAGATGTATCGCTGTTGCACTTCTAGACTGAAGTGCTATATTTAGGGATGTCTTTTTGCTACGATAAGATAGTGAGTCACTAAGATGTGTATAGGTGTAACTGATAGTATGGGTGTAAATTTTTTTCTTTTCCTCGCAAGTTCCTATTCAGGTTATAAACGTCAGCCTCGAATAAATTTACTTCAAAATTTTTGGCAATTATTACAATTTACGCTTCCTTAGTGCTGTTTACAACCTTTGCAATCCACAGCTTTTTCGATACAATCTACCTTTATTGCAATCCTTGGCGCTATTTGCACAACTAAAACTCACGTTGTGTGTGGTTGAGATTACAGTGGTATAACTCTCATCAAACTAATTTCAGCACCATTATATCATTCCGACTATGTTTGCCATCCATTTATAAACTCCTCAGCTTCTGGTGGATGACCAGCTTGAAGAGCTTTTTCTTCTATTTCTTCCAAAAAAAGTAACATAAACCACAATGCGGTTGAACAAGCGAGATTTCATCGAGCAGAACATGGTAGTGCTTCGTGATGTCCGGTTATGCTAATGGGTGCGCTTGTTTCTAGTTTAAAACTTTGAAATACAACCATAAGAAGAAGGAGATATGGGGAAAAATTGGAACGTCAACTGGGCTTCAAACTCATGACTGTACTTTCCGGGGTTCACATGCTACTCACCACACCAACCGAGACCTTTACTTTGCCTTTCTCTGAGCTCGTTTTTTACCCTGTCCGTGCTATCAGCAATACTATGTAGTTAAACATTGTAACTTTTACTTTAGCTTTAGCTTAATTGGGTTCAATGGCTATTTGTGCTCAGTAGATCATTACCATTGACGGATGATTGCTGAGAGCACCGTTAGAGTAAGAAATTTACCGAGAGAAAGGCAAAAAAAGAGGCCGGTTGGTGTGGTCAATAGCAAGTGATTCCTCGGAAAGTATAACCGCAGGTTCCAAGTTCACTGCGATTCCCAGTTTTGCTCATATCTCAGCTTCCTTGCGCTTCTTTTTCCACATGGCAGGCACCTTACCATGAAAAAAGAGTAGGCAGTAAATAAAAATTGATCACTAAAGCTTTGAGTTCATTTTTTCTCAAAGAAATTTCAAATCTGATAAAGCTTAGAGTGAAAACAATGCTTCAGAAGAAATATGCATACCCTTCAAGCAACGAAGCAACGAAGCAAAGTGTATTTCATATGTCTATCATGTTCTTAACTCCTTAAGCCCTCTGGTTATTGGAAACTCATCACTAATTGTCGGAAACCAGTATCGCCCATCGTCCCCTTGTGTATTAAGCGTATGAAGACCTATTCGCCGCTCTTGTATGCTCCACCAGTTTTTTTCACCACGCACAAGAAACTCATGGGAAAATTGACCGGCATGAGTTGATATCAACTCACAGCAAGCGCGGCGAAAGATTGAGGTCAGATAATCGTTGCGACCATACGGATTCAGGCGGACGTCATATATTTAGGAAAAATTATGTTGCCAATACCTTGATGGTTTAAAGCTGGTTTGCTTTAATTCTAGCTTCTACGCGAAATAAAAGTTACCACACTTAATCGGTCTCTTTACATCTACATGCTCTGGTTCTTATGTTTTCCCATTTCTTTCAATTTCCTTACTCCCCATTCACTTTTTCTTACTACACATTCCATACTGCACCGCCATAAAGTTGCCGATCCTTTGCTTATTGCACAAATTCCTTCTTTCTCCAAAAGTGTTAGTGATTGTCCGTTAGCTGTACTATAAGCAACACGATATGAAATCGTTTGTTCTAGCTATGTGAGAAGACACTAGCACGGGTCACTCCAACAATGGAGTGTACTTGTTGAAGAGCTAGAAGACGTTTGCTGCCAGTAATTGATGACGTTCGGCATCCACTTACCGGTACGTGTACAACATGCGGATAGCGGAACCATGGCTGCTCGACGACTTCCGTGTAGAGATGGCCATTCAACTTCGACATTTGAGATAGTTTATAGGCTAATCCTTTTGCTAAGGATATCCACACCACTAGGAAATTGGCTGGCAGCATAATATTGCAAATCTGGAAAAGAACTGAATACCCTTTCATACCATCACACGTAGAGAAATCTCCGATAATTTAACAAATAGTGGCGGAAAGGAAAGAAAAACTCTTTTAGAAAGTGTTTTTAACTAGCTGAGTAAGTGAGCACTGGTATCACGTCTCTCCAATGAAATCTATGTAAAAAATGTCTGTAATAAAATATAATGCAATCTATATCTGTACTGATTACTAATGCTATGATTAAATGACGGTCGGTTTCAAAAATTTTCTATATCTGTACTTAGTAGATAACTGTACAGCTCTATAGACATGTCTTTACTCACTGTAGAGACAAGTGTTCGAAATTTTAGGCAAAGTTATGTCAGTGTTCTTAATCTGCAATTTGTAAGTCGAAATCTATCTACAAACGCAGCTGTACGGAGTTTCAAAACGAAGAAAAACTCTTACAGAGAAAAAACGGTAGTGATTACGGTATCAATGGACAACAGAGAATACTGGCTGACAACTACAGTGAGTGTAGGCGCTTTCGGTTTAGAACGTTATATAAAAGAAATGTTATTCATGGAAAAAAAGACTAGGATAAGTTAGAGTAGAAGAAGGACAGCTTGGTGTACTTATGGTAGTACCAAGAAGGGTTTGCAATCGGGGGAACTATCGAACAAGGACGAGAATGAGAACGTAGGATCAAAAGCAATGACATTCTAGGATCACCGATTCAAAGAAATGAGCAAGACGTCATCCACCTATGAACAATGTAAACCACTTCGAAGGAGATGAGGTAGAATTGGAATCACAATCAAATCGGTTTTCCATAAGCAATGGACGGTTGCTTAACTCAAAAGTCCCCATGGTTCATGAGAACTTCGGAAATGAAGCGGATAGTGTTGAAGTTTGTTCATTGTACGGAGCCTAATGGGAACCTAGTGAAATAGATGAGATTAGTTCTGTTCACTCGACTCACTTTATCGTCGATACAACAACAAAGAGTAAGTTCTGTTAATCCTTTATGTGTTTGTGGATAGGAAGACTTATGAAGCAGAAAAAGAGGAGCAGAAATTCGCAGAAGCAGTTGAATATGTAGAAAAATATCATTGCAGATTCCATATAACGGTGACCACCTGCATATTATACGCAATGTCTAAAACGGGTCGAGTTAGGTGAATCGGAACAGTCCGGACTGGACTCGATCTCTGAGCAGATACATCCGATCATTCGACGAATTCTATCAGAAATCGATGAGTGGAAAAGGTTCCATCTACAGCTTCGAAGGTTTTTTTTCCTTTAGTTTACTCTTCCTTGAATTTACTTAGTTTGCAGTAAATACCATTGAACACGCTTGGAATTCTGGCATGCCATTCGCATAAAATATATTGAAATCAACACGTTCAGGCCCTTGTGGTAAAATGTGAGGAAAAACGAGTAATTCCCATTGTAAAGTCTTTTCCTGAAAATTCGACAACGACCCCTTTCTTACAGGGATCCACGAAAAATTTACTAATTGACGTATCTTCTAAACTCCAGAAAACCATTTCTCGACAGGTCCAAAAGGTTTTCAAGTAATGCAGTAGTGCTTCTCTCGACTTCTGAGTATTCGTCAATAAAGCATAAAAGAATAAAGCTCTCGGCGTAGATCCATCTCTGAGGGATGCTCCATGCACTCGACTTCATTAATCGTTTGGAGGTGATTGAATGCATATCTGGCCTTTATAATGACTGCGGTGGCCTACCGATGCATCGAGCCAGTGCTGCTATCTTCCCAGGCAAGTAGTACCAATTTGCCGAATCCGGAGGTATGGAAGGCTTAGTGGGCCTGGGGCGCGTGGATCGGTCTCATGTGCATTGCAGGGCGCCTCCGATCACTGGGCTGCACGTGCCCTTATTTCATCACTAATTCTGAAATAATATGTGATATCAGTGGTTTCGTTCACAAGCTTGGAACTCCACCACTGGTTGGCGCAGAAATAGAGTCGTAAGTTACAACCTGAAAACCGCAGTTATTTTCATATCAAGTGAATTAACACTTTAGCCACAACTGTTTGCATGAAATGCCGATCCGATTTACAACTGGAACTCATGAAAGTCGTTTTCAGTACATTGATAGTAGCACCCCTACTAACAACCATCATAGTGTTCACCAGCTGTGTTGGGATTTCAGCATCACCAGTGATTAGAACACAGGATTTACTGGGAAGAGAAGAATGCTCAGAAGCTCATAAGAGCTTCCATGAAATAGAGATGAAGAAAAAGAACGTGCGGATATGCTGTTCATCTCCTCACCTTGTCCTTTCGTATCGGTAACGCTCAGAAACTGGAGCATTATGGAGCACTGGAGAGGGTTCAGCTGGCTTTATTCATTATTGTGGTCATATCACAAAAGGGACAACGTTGTAAATTGATCTTTTTAAATAAATACGAGCAAGCATTTATGATTCTCACTTTCTTTGACAATCAAGTATAATGTTCTTTGTTGTGTAAGCCCTAAAGTAGAAGAAGACAACCAGATAACTGAAGCCATGAGTACCCGATTCTCGGGTTCTGAAGCAAACAGCTCAGACATTATGTATGACACTATGGCATAAATATAGATCCAGAGATACGAGCTGAAAGGACCTAGATGTTAGCGGAAGTTCCACTCGATAATTTATAGCACAAGCCATTCCATGAACGGATCTATGAATGAAGTTATCTAAGGCTACCTTATTTTCGGTTAAAAATCTGCGCAGTAAGAAACAGAGGTGGCCATGCACCAAACAACCAAACTGCGTTGTCTGATTTTGTTTTGTCGAAGCAACTATATGACCTCGTTGTTATGACCTCGGACTTCGAAATCATTTCGACAACTTTCTAGTGGCCAGAAGCTAACCGATTGGACAAGTGCCGTTTCCTTACTGGGAGCTTGGTGATGTTGCCCACTTAAACCCGCACTTCACCTTGGCTTACAGACCTTTGAGCACAATGCTGAACTCTATAACCTTGAGAAGCTGGTCCTTCTTCTAATAGACTACTGGATCATACGATTGGATGGTCTCGATGTAATCGATGGTTTTCCATGGTCCCACTGATCACCGCCAATGCTGACAATACGAAGGAAGTACAATGGAACCTCTACGTTATGCTTATTCTTGTAAATCTCCGATTTATTCCCTAAATGGCTCTTATTCCCTTCACCTAACTTTGTTAGGATCTTGAACTCATCCATTACATTCCTAATTCTGTTCCGAAACAGCTACTAAATAGAAAATACAACGGTTGGTTAGAAAATGGTAGAATTTAAACTTTTTATTATTGCTTGAAATAATGATTAATGCTCTTCTTCTACTTGTTCGCACTTTGCAAACGAGCTTATACATATTTCCGTAATATTAGTATATGATGCAACATTCGTACCCCGGTCCAATACACTTTGAAGGACCAACATTCGCGTCAGATCCGTAAGCCATCCGCGGCTGTGGACGACTAGCTCGAACCATTGCGGTTCTGAAGAAGGCGAAAGGCTCGAAACCGCAGTCGTAATAAAGTGTTACACTTATTTCGTTTTTGCTTGTCAATGTAAGGAAGGCTGCGTATTAATCTCCCACGCTGAGGTTAAGTAAAAGTAGGTTTGTAAAAATTCGAAAGTTTGTTTTTTGTAATAGTATCAGTTATATTAGGTGCACAGTTATCTGCACTTGAATTTATTAAGTCTTGACAAGACAAAGTACTTCTTGAGATAAACTAAATACGAGGAAAAAACGACAATAGCAGAGATACGTTCCAGAATCCGTGTAAACAATGCTAATCACTTCTATCGATGATGAATGTTCAAGAAAGAAATAACGTTTAACATTATAAAGTCCAAGGAAAATCATTCGGAGAAATTTAAGTAGGAATGGAATAAGTGTAAAGATGATGCCAAAGAATGTATGGAGTAATGTTAAGTGCGAGCGTAGGATTACTTCAGGTTGATTAAAGTCCAGTACGGTTTGTATCACTTCTGCGTTTCCAGGTGGAACGGAATCTGAATTTGAATCTAAACAACTAAAAAAGAATATAAGGGAAAAATAATCAACATGTATTCAAAGTGTTCAGATTACACGAGGTTAATAAAGAGGCTTTATCTGGCTAACTGGGCTCAACTTCGAACTGTGGACCACCGACTTCGGTCGTCGACTCTAACGAAGACGAGGACGTCGAAACGTTAGCCGAATAGAGCATATTTATCGATCTTGTGTAGGCTGAACAATTCAAATACATATTGACTATTTTGCTACCGAGGTTAAATGACGGTCGGTTTAAAAATAACAGAAAAACCTACATTTGGATCCAAGTTCTCAGACTAAGTATTATTATGCACTAAAAGCTGCATTCCACACGTAAAGACAAGAAAGATGGACAACTGAGTAATTGTTCAGATTCCCCGTACTTTATTTAACAAACAGGCAACTAAATTTGTTATAACTGGTGCTAAATAGTTGTAAACATCTATTTTCTGCTAAGTGTTCGTTTATTTCAACAAATAGACATTAAAATTTCTAAAAACATTGAATAGGACTAGTTATGTAGTGCGGCATACTACTTGCTCACCCGAAAAGTTAAGTGATTTTCGAAAAAGGTTATACGGAGCGGTAACCTCAAAAATAGTCATAGAATTCGATTAAAAAGTCTTCAACACATTAGGTACTCAACTTTGAAAGTATTTGCACCCGAAATACGCAGGTTAGTAGTCAAATGGCTTCAGGTTTTCTTTCACAAACATTAAAACTCGAAATACTTGGATATTTGGATGGCCCATCTTCAGTGGTTGTGCGGGTACCAGCAAAATTTCCAGTTTTTCGGAGCCTTGCTAGTTTAAATATTGCAGTTTCCTGGAGTCCCAAGGTCACGCCAAAGTCTGCCCCAGGTCGTCAATATCATAGGCATTCGCCGCCCTGGAGGATAGGGAGACTTGCCACCATGTGACTAGTTTGATACCAGGCCGGTGGTGGATCCTGGTATTGGTTTACTCCTAGCTGGTCTTCTTGAAGGAAACGCCGGATTCCTCAGCTAGGGAGAACCTGCTGATTGGATCAATCCCCCCGCTGTACATCGCAGCCCGACACTAAGGAACCCCTCCTAGCCACGATGAGGCGATAAACCTTGAGGGCAAACGTGTTAATTTAGTTCTAGCACTCGAAACACACTAAACAACTTAGGAAAGGACTTCAACTTGCCTTAAAGCGTATAGTAATTGAACACATTCGCTCTAAACAACGAATTCTTTTTCGAGCCATTTTGGCGTCTTACGCATACGTGACGGGCGAATGTCGACGCTGAGATCTTGAACTTTAACCTAGAAAAACAGCGGTGAAAGTTAATAAAGCCAATTATATCTCTCATAAAAGCATTTGTGTAATGCAGTAAACCTATTCTCACATCAAAATACTTATACTTCAAACACAAAACAACAGAACTACTTATGAACAAAGTAGATTTTTTGCTATACGTTTCTAGAAGTTACATCTCTATAAACCGATCTTATTATATTTACTTGAGCACTTAGAAGAGGACGCTGAACTGAACTAAATAATGGGATATAGGATGGCGGATAGGGTTGATTATTGGTCAAAAAGTTGGATACAGTTTGTCAGGACCCCATGCATAGCACGGTGCGTCACAGAATACAACTTTTACAATTCTTTATTTTCTTGTTGAGCAAACATGAGGTGTTATTCTACTTCTTTATTTACGAAGAAACTGACGTTTCAGCTGGTTTAGCCTTCCGCAGAGCATGGAAAGCTCAGGTTGACCGCAATCTACCCAACTTTCAACTCAACTTGACCTTTCCAGGCTCTGAGGAAGGCAAAATCCGCCGAAACGTCAGCCTTTTCGTAAGCAAGGAAATAAAATAACACCTCGTGTTTGCTCAACAAGAATATAAATAGTACTTCGATCAACACTCAAGTTTGATAGAAAACCGGTCGTGGGGATAACTTTTACAAATTTATAACAGCAATGTAGACCCAGGTACCTAACAGGTCCCATTAGCGAAGCATTATTAGCAAAGAAATGTTTTCTAGAACAGCTTTAGCACACTTAAAACAAGAAAGAACCTGTCAACTGTCTTTTCTGTTTATATGTAAAAAACCTACGTCAGATGACTTTTTCGATTTAGGCGAACTATTGGTAGTCGCCTCACCGCTGTTACCAACACCAATTTTCCGAATTTTCCCGGAAACCACCTTCTGTGCTGTCACACGGTTACCAGTCCGCTTCTGGGGGCGCTAAAACTATGACCACTGACTGCTGAGTACAAAAGCAGAACTAAGATTCAACGTTGATATGAAAATAACATAAGCACTAGATTTGATGATTTGATACTTATTAATTGAACTCGGCGTGAATTCCATACTGAACTCTATATTAAAACCTGAAATAAACAAAGTCTGTAAGCTGGTACTACAGCGTGAGAGGTCATCAAGCTGAGTTAACATTTTAAAGGATATTTTAATTCGACTAAAACGCTAAGCCACCACATAATTTTAAAAAACCCTCATACGAGAACTACAGCCTAGTTAGACTGGATTAGTTCGAGTACTTTTATATAGTTTCTACTTCTCTACACCGTTCAGCAAACGGAATCTCAACACCAAGTTCCAGACAAAAGCCTTGAGAAAATACCCACTGGAGACAAGGAAGTCATCGCCTTAGTTCCACTTTCCGGTTCAAGCTTAGGCATAGTGGGAGCAGGATCCTAAACAGAACTGATATCAATCGTGGGCTTGAGCTATAAAAGTCTATGAAAAAGCTTGCCACACTTGCCTTTATCATGAATCGAGGTTTCTTAGTTCCAGTTGAACTCCTAACTTTTCACTTAAGGATTTTTATATTATGTAACAGGAACTTTGTATTCTACCTCAGTTGCTTAGCACACACACTGACCAACAGAGAACAAATCGTTTGTTTTCTGACTAGAGCCAGAGAATGGCATCAGACATAACCAACATTGAAAGTAACAATTACTGACCAGTCTCAAACTTCGAAGTGATTGGCCAACGTACTACAGTATTCAAGTAGTTTTTCAGTCCTATCAAATTGCTCACCGTTTTAACGAAAGACTTCGTAACGTTTAAATTCTGTTGCTGAAGGGTGGAAGACTGCACGTTCGGAGCAGGTACCTTGACAAATGCGTAAAATCCATGAAATCTCATTATGAACTCCATTTGTGCAAGACCGAACCACATACCACTCCATTAGCCAATGGTCTCTTCAGCGGTACCATGCCTGGTGCTCTTGCTGCAGTACTCGAATAAATAGGTGGCGTAAGAAAAATACGTCGGTCGAATTCCGAATCGACGTCGCCGGTACGACTACCATCGCATCTCATGACGTGCCTCATGAAACCGTCGGCCTTTCGAAACAGAGAGGCACATGTTCTGCAAACAATCGAAAAGAGTAAGAAATATTCCAGGAAATACATCGGAGGAACTAGTGGTAAGCTAGGTAACTGAAAATCAATGAAAAGATAGCTATGTTCCTCGTAGACAACAAAGCGATCGTAGGAGTCTAGGGTCGGGTACGCTTCACAAGACCATACGTTAACAATACGAAGAATCAAGCATATTCCGAGCTTAAAATGTTTAATTGAGCCCTTGACATCGTTTAAAGACGGTTTAGTTCCTTAGAAAACCTGATCTTACTCATATTTTACGTAAACCTGAAAGAAAGTACCAAGCGCTATCGATCTAAACTTTGCCTTTCGATATCGTTCAAAGGCGGTTAGGCTCTTTAGAGAACCTGATATTACTGCTATTTTACGCAAGCCTGAAAGAAAGTACCAAGCACTATCAATCTAAACCTTGCCTTTCGACATCGTTCAAAGACGGTTAGCTTTCTTAAGAAACCTGATATTAGCGCTATTCTACGTAAACCTGAAAGAAAGTACCAAGCGCTATCGATCTAAACTTTGCCCTTCGACATCGTTCAAAGGCGACTGTTTGATTCTTTAAAAAAAACCCTGATATTACTGATATTTTACGAAAAACCTGAAGAAAGCACCAAGTGTTATGGATCTAGAACTTGCACTTTCATCCCACTAGACGTACTTGTACAGAAATTGTATGCACAACGTACTGAACGTAATTTTAAACATACCTTTTAAAGCGTTGAACATCTGTCTGCATGCTTTGAAACAGAATCACTTCCTGTGCTATAACTTCACTCCCAACTGTTCATTTTGACTGAATGCTGTTCAGATGTGATTAGTTAGTTTCCTCCCGCAACTAACCTTGTACAGATACTCAAAGGTATCGCTGGTTTGCACCTTCAAGATTGTAAAACAACCGATATAATCCTATCGCAGATGGGTTTTATACAAGTGGGGTCTATTTTGACCAGCTTCGTGGCCTTAGCTATTTCATTATAAAGCGTCCTTGTTAAGAAGACAGGAATCTGCTTATGGAAGTGAAAAGATTTCTCATGAAATAAATCCTGCTCATAGGATACTCAGTACGCCAATCGCCATGTGCATGTAAACGAAACCAACTCGGCATAATTTCCAAAAAAAAATACAAGATTTTAGCTTAATGAAAGCTACAGACAAGTAACAATACCTGCACTCAAAGATCACATTTGCTCTTCTTGAGAACGCCGAACGATCGCTGGTGGATGCGATCTCGAGAAAAGTCACCAACTCTTCAACACCTAGAAACACTTTAGCTCAAAGTGGGTTATCGAAACCAGTAAAACAACTGACCGCTAAGCGCTCCACGGATTCCTGTGTCCACCATGTTGTTAGTGCACTCTATAAAGACAAAAAAGTTACATAAACAAACAAAAATACCACTGAAACACACAAATGCCCAAACCGCAAGAGTTTGAACACGATTAACCGCGCCCCGAACAGAGGTCACGGACGGGGTCAACATTCCTACGGTCGGTATGTTCCTACTGCTACGTCGCTGAGCTGACTTGACAAATCACAATCTTTCGTGAAGGTTTTTTCGAGGAATGAACAACGAATATACTGATAACAGCAAGACTTAAGTACTTCGAAAATTGCATGTTGTGTAGGAACGTTTTTGTGCTACCACAGAACGACCACTTCAAAGGAGTTACCTGACGCTTCCATTGTTCTAACGATCGGGAATTGTCCAAGGACACTCTCGCTAGCCTGCAAAACTGGAAAATTACTCAAGGAAGCCTACTGAACACAATTTACACAGCTACGACTGCCTATGATGGCGCGAAAATTGAACACGAACATGTCGAAAGCATGTAGTGCCGAATGCTGCTCATCACCAGGAAAACCCGAAAGCATTAGGTCAGTAAGCATTAAAAACTTAAAATTTCAGACTATCTTAGATAAAAAAAGAGTTTTTCAGCTGGGGGGTCGAAACTGTTGGAAGCAACTGGTGCTTCACGGTAAGGAACTCTCATTCTTGACCGAAAACGATTTTGAAACAAAAGGTTAACATCCACTGTAAAAATTACAAGCACAGTTATAACCTCAGCAAATAGCACGATTCGGCAGTTATAGATGAGAATAGATGGATAGCAGAAGGATAATGAAGGATAAGCGAACCGTTTTCAGATCCGAGACAGCTTTGTGATTACCGCTTGAGAATCCTCATTTGGACGGATTTGGACGACAGAGGAGCATTCTGTTTTGAGGTGAGGAAAATAAGTCTAGATGATCATGAAGCTGCGACCTGAGGACAGATCTTTGGCTCCGGACATCTTCCTGTTCCGTCGTGAACACTGCCGTGGTAGGACTTAGGACTGAAACAAGACCGACTCCACCGGGTCCGACCGAAGCTGGTATTTCGTCCCCATTTCTTGAGTTATTGTTTAGTTTAAGAACTGCTACAATAACTGCATATGAAAGAAGTTGAAAAGACGGCAATGTGTGCTTTACGTTCGCAATTTGTATGAATACTGGTGCGGTAGTACTACATGGGTACGGTTTCATGTAAAGCAATACTGCAGCAGTACTAGACGAAGACTGCTTCACGTAAAGTAGTACGTTTCTTTACTTCGTACAGGTTGGTGTGAACTAATAGTCAACCTAGTGTGGGAATTTGTCCCAATTCACAACTTTTCCGTCACCTACGAAGGCAGTTGGATTCATGTGTGATTCGGATGGGCATTGGTGACATATTGATTGCCGGTCGAGAGTGAAGTCCTAAGACTCGCGTTGTAGTGAATTCCTAACTCTTCACCACTTCAGTCGCCAATTCAGTTAGGCCGTGCATAGCGATTCTGCCAAGACGACCGCGACTGCCACCAGCTGCGCTTCATGTGATGAAATCGAGTCACGAAATTGCTTGATTGAGCACTCGAGGGCGATGTAACATAAGAGTGCTATTCGAAGAGTTCCTTGATAAACAACTATATTACATACTATGTATGTAATACCACAGCTCTTATCTACTTTGACTCTGAAATTTCTAGACATTGTTAGCATTTCGGAGTGGTAACTGTTAAAGGTTAAAGGATGGAGCTCTCGGCGTTGATCAATCCCAGAAGGATGCGCCATGCGGTCGACTTCACTAAGCATTGTTGGAGGTGATTGCATGCATATTTGGCCTTTACAATGATCCGAGGTGGCCTACCGATGTGCCGAGCCAGTGGTACTCTCCTCTCAAACAAGTTTGGTACCATTTTGCCGACCCGGAAGGGATGGAAGATTTGCTCAGCCTGAGGTAACTGTCAAGTAACTTACTTGAATACTTGGATGGCCCGCCCTCACTGTTTGTGCGGGCCCCGCCATAGCCTCCAACTTTTCGAAGTTTTGCTAGTTTAGCCACTGTGGTTCCCTGGAGTCCCGAGGTCGGCCAGACCAAAGTCTCCTCCAGGTCATCACCACCACAGGCAGTCGCCGCCCTTGTGCATCAGAGGGAGATTTGCCACCACGCGATTAGTTTGATACCAAGACGGTGGCGGATCCTAGTAATGGTTTACACTTAGCTAGGCTTCCTGATGGAAACGCCGGACTCCTTCTCATCTTGGGAGATCCTGCCGAGGGGTTGAACCTCCGCTGTACATCGCATGCCATGCCCAGGAACACCTCTCAGCCACGATGAGGCGGTAAACCTATGGGAGAAATGTCTGTCACTGTTAAGTCTGTAAATACATATTGCTACAGTGCAATAAGAATGATTAAATGTTTCTCATGGGTTGTGATGTCATAGTCCTCCTTTATCGTAAAAGCAAATTTCAATATATGAAGAATGTGAACGGCTTTCATCATTATAGAAAGCATTGTTTATAGCTTCATCGATTATTATCCTAACACGGGGTTGATAAAACGGTTTATTCGGCTAACGCTTCGACGTCTTCGTTGTCTTCGGAGCCGGTTTGATGCCAGTCGATGTTCCGCAGCTGGTTGTTGTCGGATAGAGCTGAATCCAATGACCACCTCTCGAATGAAACGCTAACCAAATAAATCTTTTTTATCAACCTCGTGGTAGTTTAATAATTGAAGTAGGTATTGATTATGTATGCTGAGGTTTAATGAAAGTCGGTTTCAAGAAACAGAGCGTTGCCTATATTTGTACTTGCATACGATAGACTATTCTCGAAATTCTCAACGACCAGTTGTGACACTCACCAAGTATGTTGTTGTAAGGTACCGCAGGTTCCATTCGATGATTGCACTTACATCCGAGGTCATTCATTTGAAGAAAAGCACTTGATCCAGTCAAGTTACGATCAGTTCCAGTCAAAGCAGCTTAAATCCAGTATTGGATTTAATCATGAAACAAAAGCACAGTAGCTTGCAGTTCCAGGTTCATCTGCGCTCGTAAGTTTACACTTCTGTGTTTAGCTGCGATTAGGTGACAATAAATTCATTACTGATATGTTGAGTTAATCGTATAGGTAAGTTTTCGAGCAATTGAAGTCTGTTTTGTTGATAAAAGATAGGAAAAGCTTTGTTGGCCAAGATTATCGCTTTTCAGTGTTGTTGGATTTCTTACTTTGCAGCCGTTCTGGCAAAATCGGTTGAATTTATGTCCACATTTATATTTACTTACAGCTCTGAGGGTAGAGTGTAGCGCAGTGATCGGAGTCGCCTTGCAATGTACATGAGATCGATCCCCGCCTTCCAGGGCTCACCAAGCTTTCCGTCCTTTCAGGGTTGGTAAATTGGCACGAGACTTATCTGGGAGGAAAGCAGCACTGGTTGCACATCGGAAGGCCACTGCGAGCCATTGTAAAGCCAGGTATGCATTCATTCACCTCCAACGTTGCTTAATCAGGTCGAATGTGGCGCATCTCTCAGGGATTGATCGACGCCTAGAGCTTCATCCTTTATCCTTCTATTAGAACCCTGATGTTTTCCTAGAAATGGTATTCGTGCAGATACTGTATGGCGAGTAACCGTTATCATGTGGATGAAATCCGAACTTCGTGACCTTCATTGAGGTAAAAGTAGATCGCAGCAAGCAATTCCAGGAACAATTTGGTATTCACTTCTGATAGAAAGATGTAATGTCTTCCTTACGCTGCTGTGCAGTTTCTTTTAGTCCAACTTAAATATCGAAATTGTTTGTGGAGTGGCCTATGTGGTAACTTTATTGGGAATGTTGCTCTTCCCGTAGCATTTCTTACTGTGTGCACGCGTATGGTTGTTTGGTATTCACATTCTTATAATTGTACTTGACAAGGTCACCAATGAGGTTAGTCATGGCATGAAGTAGCGAGCACTTCTTCCAGCCAGAGCCGCTCAATTTGTGTTTTCGAAGCTTCGAAACAATCACTGTACATGACCGTATTAGCAATGCTGAGGGCTTATTAGGTTGTTCAGAAATAAATGGGCGTTTTAGAAGATTCAGTGTTTTAATATTTTTTTAGCAATAAAATATTTTTCGTGTTTTGCAATATTATATATAATTAGAAAGCTGACTTTATGCTCTTTCTAAATTTCTGTACATTTTGTTAGAATTTAACTTCCTTTTAACGATTTTGAGCTTTGCAATTTTGGATGTCGAAGACAAATTTCCGTCAAATTTTCTTTTATGAGTTCAAATTGGGTCGCAGTGCAGAAGAGATGGCTCAAAACATTAATGAAGTTTGGGCCGAAGGTAGTGGTAGTGTTAGTGAACCAACTGTTTGAACGTGCTTCCGGAAATTCCGATCTGGTGAATTCGACCTCGAAGATAAGGAAGGCCGCGGAGGCCCCAACGAAGTTAACGGCGACGAATTGAAGGCACTAGCGGAAGCATAAACACGAACAACTGTTCGAAAGCTTGCGGAACGGCTTGGCGAAAGCACAGGAACAATTTCCACCCAATTGAATCACATAGGAAAGGCAAAAAACTCGACAAGTGGGTACCGCACGAATTAAACGACAATCAAAAAAATCGCCGTTTTGACGTGTCATCCGCTCCTACTTTGCGCAACAAAAACGAACCTGTTCATGATCGAATCGTGACGTGCGACGAGAAGTGGATTCCGTACGACAACTTCACCTCAGTGGTTGGATTGCGATCAGGCTCCACAGAACTTCCCAAAGCCAAAATTGTACCAAAAAGGTTATGGTGACTGTTTGGTGGTCTGCAGCCTGGCTGATTTATCATGGCTTTTTGTATCTGGGCGAAACGATTAGGGCAGAGAAATATTACCAACAAATCGACGAAATGCACCGTAAACTCCAACAAAAACGATCGGGGTTGGCCAACAGAGAAAGACCAATCTTTCTCTACGACAACGCCCGTCTCACGTTGCGGAACCAGCGCTGCAGAAGTTGAACGAGTTTGGCTATGAAACTTTGCCTCATCCGCCATATTCATCGAACCTCTCGCCTACCGATCATCACTTCTTCAAGCACCTTGACAAGTTTCTGCGCGAGGAATGTTTCACCAACCACGATGACGCCAAAAATACCTTTCACGAATTCATCTCTTCCAGAACTCTGCACAATTTTATGCAACTGGAATAACGTTTCCTGTTGGAAAAAAATTATTGTTTCTAATGGTTTTTATTTTGATTAATAAGGTTTTGTTTGAAGCAAGTTATGAAATTTTGAATAATATGGCTAAAAACGCTCATTTATTTCTGAACATCCTAATAATTCCATTACTCCTTTGTAGTGCAAAGTGTACAGCCCAATGGTTAGGGTGCCCTGCAATACACATGGGTCCGATCACCAGTCCAGGCTCACCATGATCCCTTCGAGGTCTGCGAATTAGTACCACACCTGTCTGGAATAATGCCAATACTGACTCGATACATCGGTGGGCTGCCGCGAATCATTGTATAGCCCCCATATACATTCAATAACCTACGACGATGCTTAATGAAGGCGAATGCATGACGCACCGCTCAGGGATT